CAAACCTTAAGAAAACCAAAAATTATTCAATATTTTCTGAAAAAGTACTACCGAACGGGCCCCCCGCGCGCGCATGTCGAAATCTTTCGAACGCCCTTGCGCGCGTGCCGTCGCGAGAGTCCTCTGCAAAAAATGAAACGAAGTGCAGGCGCGCGCGTCGTCGCGCGCGCATGCCGAAATCCTTCAAGCAAACGATCGGTTTCGGAAGGATTTCAAAATCGCGCGCCCAAGCAAAATACAAAAACACAAGGTTTCGTAACACGGATTTTCAACAAAAGCGTGCGCGCGCGCTCTTGCGTCGTCGTCGTCGTCGTCGCCTTCCTCCCTCCTCCCTCGTCGTCGTCGTCGCCGGCGTCGTCATCTGTCTTTCCTCGTCGTCGTCGTCGTCTTGGCGCGTCGTCGTTTCCATCGTCGTCGTCGCCGTGGTCGTCCTTCCTCCCTCGTCGTCTTCGTCGGCGTTTCGTCGTTGTCACTCCTATTTCGTCGAGGCCTGGGGATTGTGGAATCGCACGTCGTTTTGATATGATTTTCATATAGTGGCACGCCCCTTCATCTTTAAACTTTGATGGCTTTTTGACATGATTATGTTCGCCGTGCTCCCCTCATAATATGCTTCTCTCGTTATATCGCTATCTCTCTCTCTCTCTCTCTCTCTCTCTCTCTCTCTCTCTCTCTCTCTCTCTCTCTCTCTCTCACTCTCGTTGTGTCTCTCCGTCTATCTCCTGCACCAGGCCAATGCATGCCGATGCGATTCCAACCCCTTTGCCAACCAATGCCAATGCCAATGCAATGTGAATGGGGGAATCCTGTCGCTCGGTGGATTGCACTAAGAATCCTTTGTGGCCGGTGTCATTAAACATCCTTCTTCGGAGGATTTCAATAGAAATGCCTTTGTGGAAGGTTTCAATAGGGATCCTCCTGTGGAGGGTTTCACTCGGAATCCTTCTTGCGGGGGGTTCAGTAGGAGTCCTTCTGCGGAGGGTGCCATAGGACTCGCCAGCGCAATACCAACGCAATGCCGAAGCAGTGCCATCGCAATGCCAAACCAATGCCAAGGCGACCCCAATCCAACGCAAATGCAATGCCAATTGGGAGGAGCCTTTTGTGGTAGATATTGAAAAAGGGATCATATTTCTGGAAGGTTTCAACTGGAATCGTTGTGCGAAGGGAGGCACAAGGACTCGCTAGCGCAATGCCAGCGCAATGCCACAGCTGTGCCCGATCCAATGCCAAAGGGGGAATCCTTTCGCTCGGTAGATTTCGATCAGAATCCTTTGTGGACTGTGTCATTACGAATCCTTCTTCTCGTGCACAACGTGCCTGGAGCTCCGACCACTTTACTCCGCGCGTCGCGCCCCCCCCCCATCCCCCCGCGCCCCCAACGCCAGAGTGGGCCCCCCGCGCCGTGGCTCTCTGCCCCGAGCCCCCCCCGCGTCCCCAGCGCCCCAGCGGGAGCCCCGCCCACTGCCCCCTCCGCCAGGAACGCCGCATTCCGCGTCGCACCCCCCCTCCCCCCCCCCCCAATCAAGAGCCCCCGCGCCGCGGCTCTCTGCCCCGAGCCCCCCCGCGCCCCCAGCGCCCCAGCGGGGGCCCCGCCCACTGCCCCCTCCGCCACGAACGATTTCCGCGTCGCCCCCCCCCTCCCCCCGCGCCCCCAGCGCCAGAGTGGGACCCCCGCGCCGCGGCTCTCTGCCCCGAGCCCCCCCGCGCCCCCAGCGCCCCAGCGGGGCCCGCCCACTGCCCCTCCGCCACAAACGCTTATTCCGCGTCGCGACGCGCACCACCTCCCCCACCTCCCTCCCCGCGTCCCCAGCGCCCCAGTGGGGGCTCCGCCCCGTGCCCCCTCCGCCCCGACATTTTATTCCGCGTCGCGACGCCCCCGCCCCTCCCCCCCCCCCCGTTGGACCCCCGCCCCGTGGCCCCCGCTGACCCAAGCCCCGCCCAATGCCCCCTCCGCCCCGACCATTTATTCCGCGTCGCGACGCACACACCTCCCCACCCATCCTCTCCCGCCACAAACGCCCCAATGGGACCTCCGCCCAGTGCCCCCTCCCCCGACCATTCTACTCCACGTCGCGACGCGCGCCACCTCCCCCCCCCTCCTCACCTGGGATTCGGGCCCCGTCGCTGGGCCCCGAGGGGCGATGTCTTGCCCCCCTCTTCCCCCCTCCTCCTCCGACTCCTCCTCCTCCCCCTTCCCTTCTGTGCAAGAGCCATGGCACACGTGCCACTCGTTTGGAGGATTTCAATAGGAATCGCTCTGTGGAAGGTTTCGATAGGGATCCTCATGTGGAGGGTTTCACTCGGAATCCTTTTGTGGGGGTTCAGTAGGAGTCCTTCTACGGAGCCATTCGGACTCGCCAGCGCAATGCAAACGCAATGCCGAAGCAGTGCCGTCGTAATGCCGAACCAGTGCCAAGGCGATCCCAATCCAATGCCAATGCAATGCCAATAAGGGGAATCCTTTGTTGTATATTCCAAACGGAACATTGCTTGTGGAGGGTTTCAGTAGGAATCGTTCTGCGAAGGGAAGCACTAGGACTCGCCAGCGCAACGCCAAAGCAGTGCCAACTCCATGCCAAACCAACGCCAAGGCGATCCAAACTTAATGCCGGTGCAACGCCAATGGGGTGGATTGCTTGTGGTAGCGCTCACTAGCAATCCTTCGAAGAACCCTTCGGTGGATGGCGTCATCCACGAAGGAATCCTTCTAAGGACCCTTCTACGGAGGGTTTCACTAGGAATCCTTCTTTGGAGGGACTCGCATGGAACCCTTTTTCTGAGGAGTGCTATCTGAATCCTTGTTGCGGGGCGGCCGTAGGCATCATTCTCGTGGACGTGTTCAATCGGAATCCTTATGTGGAGCGTGAGGTTGGGACTCGCCAGCGCAATGCCATCGCAATGCAAACGCACTGCTAACGCACTGCCATCGCAATGCCAATGCGATGTCAAACCGTTAGCAAACCAATGCCAATGCAATGCCGACGACATGATTCCAGTCGTTCAACAGATTCCAACAGAAATCCTTATGTGGATGATTTGGCTACGGACCCTCATTCGGAGGAAATTGACAGGAATCATATTGTGAAGGGTTTCGGCAAGAATCCTTCTGTGGAGGGTTTCACCATGAACCCCTCATATGGGGGACCCTTCGTGTGGAAGTTTAAACTAGGAGTCTTTCTGTGGTGGGAGGCATTAGAAGTCGCCAGCGCAATGCCAACGCAATGCTACCGCAATGCCAAACCAATGCCATGGCATTCCGAATCTCCCAATCCAATGACAATGAAATGCCTGGGGGAAATCGCTTGTGGTCGGTCTCGATAGGACTCCTTCGATTGAGGGCTTCGAATAGAATTCTGCGTTGAAGGGGATTTAATATGAACCCTTCTTGTGGAATGTTTGAATCGGAATCATTCTTGTGTGGGCTTCACTAGGAAGGGAGGCATTGGAACTTGGAAGCACAATGCCAGCGAAATGCCAAAGCAGTGCCAACGCAATGCCAAACTAATGCCAAGGCGATCCCAACCCAATGTCAATGCAATGCCAATGTGAAAAAAAGCATGTGTGATAGATTTCAGTAGAAATCCTTCGGTGGAGGGTTTCGCATGTAATCCTTCTGTATAAGGTTTCAATATGAGCCCTGTTTTTGAAAGGTTTCAATAGAAGTTCTTTTGGTAGACGGCTTCAATATGAGTCTGTTTGTGGAGGGTTCCATGAGGGCCCACCAGAGCAATGCTTGCGACATGCAAGCGCAATGCCAACGCACTGCCAAGCGCCATGTCAACGCAATGCCAATGCGATACCAAACCATGGCCAAACCAATGCCACTGCAATGCCACCTGTGGTATTTCTTTCTCTCGAAGCATCACAATAGCAAAAAGCTTGATTCTAGAGGAAAGAGGAGGAGGGCGGGGGAGAGACGAAGGAACGAGCGGAGCAGCGCGGAGGAGGAGGAGGAGGAGGAGGAGGAGGAGGAGGGGGCGGATGACGAGGAGGAGAAGAAGGAGGAGGAGGAGGAGGGAGGGGGCGTTTCCTTTTTTGTTTCCCCCCACTCAAAAAAAAGAGGAAGGAACAACATATCTGGAATACCACCGCGTTTTTTTTCTGGGGGGGGACAAAACAAAAGAAACTCCTGGAGGCACGGGGGAGGAGGATAATGAGGAGGAGGAGGAGGAAGAGGAGGAGGAAAAGAGGCCAATGGGGAGGAGTGAGGAGAAAGAGGAGGAGGAGGACGACGACACAGAGCGCGCAGAGATTGCATAGAAGCAATCGCGAACTCAGCGCGAAAGCCTCGCGCGCGCGCTTTTGAACCCCTGCGACTCCACAATCCCCCGTTCTCATTTCGTCGCCGTCGTCGTCGTCGTCGTCGTCGTCGTCGTCGTCTTCCCTCCTCCCTCGTCGTTGTCGTCGTCGCCGTCGTCGTCCTTCCTCCTCCCTCGTCGTCGTCGTCTTCGTTGGCGACGTCGTCGTCGTGGTCGACGTCGTCTTCGTCGTCGCCGTCGTCGTCGTCGTCGCCGTCGTCGTCGTCGGCGGCGTCGTCGCCGTCGTCGTTGTCATCGTCGTCGTCGTCAGCGTCGGCGCCGTCGTCGTCGGTGTTGTCGTCGTCGTCATTATCGTCGTCGTCGTTGAAGTCGTTGGAGACGTCGTCGGTGTCGTCGTAGTCGTTGTCGGCGGCGTCGTCGTCGTCGTCGTTGTCGCTGTCGTCGTCGGCGTCGGTGTCGTTGTCAAGTGCCATGTGGTACCCACCGTCACGGTCTGAAGAGGTATTGCGACCAAGTTGCGGGTGGGAGGGTGGGATGTTTGCACGAGCAGTGGAGAGGACAACTCACTGCGAGCATTGGATTGCGCCACATAGATTGCCCCACCTAGATTGAACAATCGATACTGCTAGAAACACACTGACTGGAGTCCACGTGGGCGAACCTTTGTATTGAGTACAAGAAGGATCGAGAAGAGAAGAGAAGAGAAAACAAGAGAGAGAGAGAGATGTATACAGATAACGAGAGAGAGAGAGAGAGAGAGAGCGAGGGAGGAAGGACGGAAGAGAAGGAGGGAGGGAGGGAGGCAAAGGATGGACAGCACCTCCTCGCGGCAACGATTTCCTGACCATGGCAACGCAGCGGACCCTGCGGGTGGCGGGAAGGCCAGAGGCGGGAGTTGCGCGGAACTTTCGGGCCGAAGTGCGCCATGAGACGTGGCTTGGGCAGGACCCTGGTGGCCTCCTGGGAAAACTGGCCAGGGTAGAGGAAGATTGGGCGTCGCTGTGGGGGGGAGGCGATACATGGACGGGTTGAGAAAGGTGCACTTTTCGGGCCCTAGAGGTCTCCATTTGGGTCTAAAAGTGAGCCTTTTCGACAAACCTCGCTGCCCCCCATCCATCACCCCCCCAATACGCGACGTCCAAAAAGAGATGCCTCCGATCTCCGGGTTGAGCTCCTATTTCCGAGACGCGCCAGGCTGGACGTCTCACTTCGACTTCCCAGCCTTCTTCTTTGTGGCAGGTTTCGCTGCCGCCGAGCCCTCTGGCTTAGCTGGCGCTGGCGCCGGCTGCACCGCGACCGGCTTCTCGTGCCGCCACTTGCAGGACTTGTTCTTGCACTTCCCGTGCTTCACGAAGGCGGTGCACAGGTCCTGGGGGGGAGGTGGGGGACAAAAAAGGTACTCATACCCCAGACCTCTCCCGGGATGTGATCTCAGCCGTGGCGCCAAGAGCTCTCCAGGGCGAGCAGCGGTGTCGGTATCTCCTTCCACTCTGAGGTCCCAATTCGACGTGAACTTCTCCGCCACTCTTGCGCCACGAGCGCCGTCCTCCGCTGCCCTCGGCTCGGGAGCGGCGCCCGCGTGCTCGCGCGGAGCCCGCTCCCGAGCCGCGGGTTCGGCCTGGCCGGCGACCTCCAGCGCCTGCAAGCGCCCCGCGCCCTCACCCTGCAGCCACTCGACCACCGAGCTCAGGGCCGCCGAGCCCTCTGGCTGTCTGGCGGCCTCCTGCCGCACCTGCCGCTCGAAGGCGGCCAACGCGCCCGCCGAGCAGCTCTCCGCCCGGCCGCGCGCCACCGCCAGCGGCTGGCCCGGGTAGAACGCCGGGACCACGAAGCATACCGAGGCCTGCGCGACGCCACCAGCCTCCACCGTGAATTCGCACATCACGGGGTCCTGGCGGTGCAGCAGCTCGCCCCTACGCTGGGCGGCCCGCAGCTCCAGCAGGGCCCCGCTCGGCACCGACAGGCCCTCCGCGCGCAGCCGCTCCAGCTCCGCCAACTGCGCCGCCTGCACCTCCAGCGTGGCCCACGGAGGCGTCCACACCTCTTCTGGCTGCTCGGCGGCCGCCGCAGAGGATGAGGCTGTCGCCTGCGCCTGCGCCTCGCTGACCTCGGGCCTGTCCGCATCGGTTTCGTCCAGCTTCGCCCTGGTCGCGGGGGCCCTCAGCACGGGCTGCTTGGGGGCCTTCTGTGGCCGTGGCGCCCTCTGGGGCCGCATCAGGGCCTGGACCGCGGGGGCGCTGCTTAGCATCTCGCCCGGCGTCGGGCCGGCGCTGCTGGCCGCCCCGCTCGGAAGGCCCTCCTCGCCTAGGTTGTCGTCGACCACCCTCAGGCCGCCCTCAGCGTGCACCGTCAGCGCGTCCCGCACACCGCCCGCGACGCCCTGCTGCGCCCGCGGGTGCCTCGGAAGTCCCTGGGCAGCAAGCGCCTGCGGAGGCGCCTGCTGCGCCCCAGTGGCGAACTGCACAAAGAGCTGGCGGGCCGCCACGGCGACCTCGCGCGCGGCGCGGCTCGCGGAGCTTCCCGCGGCCTGCGCGGCCGCGAAAGCTTCCGCCACCCCGAACGCCTGCCCCGTCAGGCGGTCCAGGGCCTGGCATTCCGAGAGGGTAAGCTGCCGCCGGTTCACCGGGTCGATAAACTGGCCAGACCCCACCACGTAGCGGGCGAGCTCCTCTGGAGGAACAACAAAAACAGCGTAACCAGAAACAGTCGGGGTTCCGTGCGGGTTCCTTGCGGCGCTGGGCCCCCCTGGCGGCGCCTCCGGCGCCACCCCTGGTGCGCTCCGCGCGCCAGGAGGGTGCCCAGCGCCGGTCCAAGATTTCCGCGCGAAGCTCCGAAAGTTGATGTTTACTCTGGATATCATGATGATGGGGGGGTCTACTTTTGTGGGAGTCGAACGGGGCTTCGTCAAACAAGATTGAGAGGGGGGTCTCGATGTTGGCCCACTGTTGCACCGCTCTTCGGGGGGGGTCCCAGACGCGCTGTCAAACACTTGGTTGGCCCCTCCCCGCGCTATTGTGAGACTTGAAACATCAGCCTTGTCTTCCCGGGTTCTTGCCGTCGAAATTATGCCGAAAGGCGCTGCCAAACATTTGTTTGACCCCTCCCCCCGCTACTGTGAGATTTGGAATATCAGATCTGATTTTCCGGGCACTTGCCATCGAAATAATGTGCAGTCGCGCTGCCGAACACTTGACCTCTCCCCCTGTTATTGTGATAGTTGGAGTCACAGTTCTGTTTTCCCGGGTCCTTGCCGTCGAGCTAGTGCCCAGACGCGTTGTCAAACACTTGTTTGACTCCTCCCCCCGCTGTTGTGAGGTTTGGAGTATCTGTTTTGTCCTCCTGGGTCCTTGCCGTCGAAATAGTGCTTCAGGCCCCTCCCCGCCCCGCGGCTGTCCAGGGACGCGTCGAGCTCGAAGGGCGCCTCTGGGCTACACGCAGGAGTGACCCTAAGCAAAAGTGACCTTTAGTGCGAGGACTCAGGGGGCGCATGGTGGCCAAATCCAAGCGCGCAAGCAGCCACTATCACATCACGCTCAGCGATCGGAGGGACATCGGTGAGCCCGCACCAAAAGTCACTCGGGCGAAGGGTCACTCTTACGTGTGGTCGAGCCTCGCCGAGCAGGCGGATCGGCGTGAGGCTCACTGGGCACTCCTCGGACAGGGGCAGCGACTGCCACCAGCCCCAGGAACGGCCCTGCTCATCACAGGCCCACCAGGTACCCTCCCACCACTCTGCCCCACTGTGATCCTGCGAAGGGGCAGAAACAGGACATGAGTGACTATCAAAGACGGATAATACGCGGGATGGCACAGCGACCTTAAGCCGCAGCTCACGCGGGCCGCCAGCGCGGGCGCCAATGTCGGCGCAGACGACCCCGGTTTCTGGCGTCGCTCACATGCTTTCGTCGTACCAAAAAATGACGACGGCAAGTCGTCGGCCGTCTTCGACCTCCAGTGGCCCTCGCTGGTTCTCGGGGCCGTCAAACAAAGCATCGGGATGAAAAAGCGGCCCTGGGAAAAAAATCGGGACCTCAGGGGATTGCGTATCGAGACATCAATACATCGCATGTCTGGGAAGATACCGATACCGCTACTCCCCAGACCTCCCCCAGGGCGCATTATAATTAGGATTCCGCTCCGAATCCAGTCATAGCGACGAAAATACAAGAAACCAAAGAACGCGAAAACGAGTAAAAGGTATCCGTGTCAATATGTCTTCCCCTCTGAGATCCCATTTGCAGCCGGGACGAGAGCACTGGCCAGTCTTCTGCAGGTTCGTGCACAGGTCCCAGTCCGCTCCGAAGAGCTGACGAGGGGCTGCGGGCATCGCACAGACTGGGCACCAGGGTTCCCGCTCCCAGTGTATCTGCCGGCGGCGCGGAGGAAAACAGCAAGACAAACTCAATTATGTGCCAGGCGAGCCGTGACCCGTAGCTGGTCTTGAGCCAGCACGGCCAGAGTTAGACAGTCGACGACGCCAAGAGGGTCAAGGGAAGTAAGAGGAGGATCGATTCGGACCGCTAGAACTCGCGTCACGCTGACGAGTCTGGTGGCGATGCGAGCGCATCACAGAGAGGGAATCGCTGAATCAGGAGTTCAGGGCATCGCAACTAACTGTCGGCGTGTATGAGGGGCTTGTCCGTTCGAGTCGTCGTCTCCGCCATTCGTTAAGTAGTCGTCGTCTCTGTCGTCCCCTTTCCCTGCGCCCCCCCCCTTTCCCTGGGCCCGTCGCCGCTTCCCCCCCTTTCCCTGGGCCCTCCTCCTCAAGCGCTAGGCCCGTCGCCGATCCACACACCCCTTCCCTGGGCTCTCCTCTTCAAGCGCGCCAGCCCAAGCGAAATTGAGCAACGACGCTATTGACTCGAAGGGAAGGGAAGCCCCTTCCCTTTGATCCCTCCCCTGTAGGGAGGAGGGGGCGGTCCCGGGGGGGGGGTCCCGGGCGGAGGGGGGTCCTGAGTCAGATGCGACTCCCCCTGGGGGGTCCCGGGGCCCATGACTCGAAGGGGTCCCTCCCCCGCAGGGACGGGGGGGAGATCCTGGGGGGGACTCCCGTGGGGGGATCCCCGGTCAGATGCGACTCCCACCTGGGAGGTCCCGGGGCCCCAAAAAGCTGCAAGACGGGCCAAGAGTGCCCCCAAATCGGTCCAAGAGGGCCCCGAATCGCCGAACGATCTGTCCAAGACGCCTTGACGGCCTCCAGACGGCCCAAGAGCCATGCAAGACGCCCCATGAGGCCTCCAGGAGCACTCCCAAGAGGGCCCCAAGAGGAAAAATAATTAGTTTCCCGTTGGTTTTGACGTATTTCGGCGTTCTCGCCTCGGCCGCTTCCCGATCGCCCCAAGACGGCCCAAGAGGGCTCCAGGAGGGAGCCAAAACGGCTCAAGAGGGCCCCAAGACGGCTCAAGACGCCTCTGGCCCAAGAGGCCCCCAAGACGGCTCCAAGAGGGCCATGCGCGACGGAGGGACCAAAACGGACATCTCGAGCTCCCGGCCCCGAGAGGCTCCCAGGAGGAACCTAGAGGCCCCAAAAAGACCCCAAGAGGGCCCAAGAGCCCCCCAGGAATCCCTGAGAGACCCGCAAGAGGCTCCCAAGAGGCCCCCAAGAGGCTTCCAAGAGGCCCCTAAATTGTTCCCGAGAGCCGGGAGGTCCCCGAGAGCGCTTCGAAGAGACCCCAAGAAACACCCATGAAGACTCTGACCCACGTTAGCGTCGTCGTCGTCGCCGCCGCCGCCGCCATTGTTGTCGTTCCCCTTCAGGGCCAGCGGCACCAGCCGTAAGGCCTTCGCAATAACTTCGATGCAAGCATTGCTACGCGCGAGCGCACAGCGAGATAGGAAGCCGCATCCTTGCAAGGCCGAAATGAAGTGCAACGAATGAAGGCCAGGCAACAGAGAAAACATGGGAAATCATTCTGGCGATGGAAAGCAAGGTTATGACATGCACGAGGAAACACTCAAATGATCAAACTCAAAATTGCAGACGGAAAGGGTTGTCACAGATGAAAGTGTAACTGCATGTGCATGTGAGGAATAAGTCCCGGCGCGGTTACAGAGAGGTGTGGGTGCAGGCGCAGGTAGGTGCAGGTGGGTAGATGTGTGGTGTGTAGGTGTGAAAAAGGTGTATGGACGTCTGTGCCAGAGGTGTATAGGAGGATGGGTGTGTTGCACAATGCAAGTGCAAAGGCGTTCTGGCTAACGGCTGCTACGCGCAACGCCTGAAAATTGTTCCACAAGCCCGATTTGCTTCGAGCCTGTGGAGCATGATATACAAGCCCTGCACGCCAGCATTCCCGGCTTTGCCAAAAGGTTGCAAGGGCCTTGCGTGTAAAGGGCTGGTCCTTCCGACCACAGAAGTCATGACGCTACCCGCCCCAAATCCCACCAGCCCTCTGGGCGTCGGTGGTTTAAGGAATTTCCTCTTCCACCCCTCCTTCTTCCCCTTCGGGGAGGGGTTTACCCCTCTCCCTACCCCCTCCCCGTGGACCTGGACGGGAGGGGCCGCGAGATGTCAGGGCGTCCAAAACGGCCTCGGCAAGGAAACCAAAACCATTGATTTTACTAGGGTTTTGGCCCCATGTTGGCCTCTTGGGGGGGCCGGGCTAATTAATGCTCCGCACTTCTTTGATAGATCTCCTCCAAGATGGCCCCAAGAAGCGCCCAGGAGGCCCCAAGAGGTCCCAAGATGGCCCCACGATGGCCCCAAGAGGCCCCCAAGAGGCCCCCAGGAGGCCCCCAAGAGACCCCCAAGAGGCCCCAAGAGACCCCCAGAGGCACCCAAGATGCTCCAAAAGGCCTCGGCGAGAATGCCAAAACGGCCTCGGCGAGGAAGCCAAAATCATTGGTTGTACTGAGGTTTTGGCCCCATTTTGGCCTCCTGGCGGGGGGACGCTCATTAATGCTCCCCTCTTGGTTGATCGATCTCATTCAAGATGGCCCCCAAAAGCGCCCAGGAGGTCCCAAGCGGTCCCAGGATGGCCCCAAGATGGCCCCAAGAGTCCGAGAGCCCAAAATGGGCGGCGGTATCTGCGGGATGTATCCGATCTCATAACCGAAACCTTTTTTTCTCGAGCCTCGCGAGGGGCTGCGGAGCGTAGCAAATCATATCCGTCTGAAACATTATCAGGCTAGGAGGCGATATGGCACGCACTCCTCCTCGGCAGATGTCGCAAACCGACAACTGACGGAAACGCGAAATCGCGCTCCAGCCCACACGGTATTATATCTCGATTCTCAACCTGCTGCGGGCTATGGTCGGCGTCCCGACGTCTGGCCCTAACAGGTCGGTTTCAGTAAATAGAAACTCTGTTCTCTTCATGGCTTCGTGCTGCACGATGCTCGGCTACGCTCTGCACGTGGAAATCAACGAAGCATAGCAAGCACTGTGACACGCACAGCTGCTACAACCACACTGTGCCCATGCCTTGGTAAGCCCCTCGCGATCTCCAAAGTCATGGGCAGTCTCTTCACAAGCTCGTGATGACGAGCGGGATCCAGAGTCTTCGTCATCAGACCCGCTACGTTCTCTGCCGTCGGCACCTTCGCGGCGCGCACTTCTTTCTCGGCCACTTGCTCCTGCAACCACAGGTACTTCACGTCCAGGTGTCTGATTCGTCCGACACCCAGCCTCGAGCATATCCTGGTGGCGGCGGCGCTGTCACCGCACACCACCACCGTCATCTTGATGCCCACCTCCTCGAACAGGTTCTTCGTGAAGATCCCCCGCGCAGCGCCGTTGGTCATCTCCACATACTCAGCTTGTCCACTGCTCAGCGCACGTGTCGCCTGCTGGCCAGCCCAGCTGTCGATGCACGCCTTCCCGACGTACTCGAAACCTCCACCACGGCTCCTGCGCGTCACTTCATCTCCAGCCCAGTCCGAGTCCGTCGCGATGGTCACCTCGCTCGGTAACTCCTGATACTCAAAGTTCCACATCATCAGCGGGTGCGTCGCTAAGTAGGCGGCCAACCGCTTCAGTTCCAGCTCGTGGAGCACCAATGGCTCCTGCGTCCCGCGCATGATCCAGCTCGTCGCGAACTGGATGTCAGGTCTGTCTGCTGCCAAGTACAGTGCCGTCGGCGCCGCCGACTGGAACAGGTTCTTCTCAGCGTATCCCAGCTTGTCCAACGCCGTTGGCACCTCCTTCCCAATGCTCTTGGAAGCCGGCGAGATCTCCCTCGCCGCTGGCAGCTCCCCGTAGGCGTCGGCCACTGTCCTCGCGTGCTTCGCGCGCGTCGCTCTCCCAATGGAAACCCTTCTCTGTCCAGCTAACCGTCCTCTTCAGGAAATGGCCAGACGTCGCTTCACCTCCAGCTTCTGCGGGCCCCACGAACGGCGAAAGCTTCACCTCGAACTTCGCCTCCAGGATCTCGTTCAGCCACCTCAGGTCCTCAAGCGTCCCCGCGGCCATGAAGTCGTCTCCGTGCACCACGATGTAGATGCCCTTCTGGGCGTGGTAGAACACCATCACCGCCGCCGACATGCGGATGAAGCCCTGATCGGTCAACGTCACAATGACCTTGTGCTGGAACAGCTTGCTCGCTCTCCTGGCCCCATACAGCGCCTTCCGCAACTGCCGAACTACATTCGGCTCCTCCTCGCCCGGGGGCGGAACCACGCGCGCGTCCTCGTCCATCCCAGCGTGGAAGAACGCGCTGCTGATGTCCCAGAGCCCTATCAGGTAGACCCCCATGTGGTTCCTGAGCGTCGCTGCCAGCACCAGTGCCAGCCTGGCGAACTTCAGCGGGGGCGCCCAAGCGAATGCGTCGTCGCGCGCCTGGTAGGCAATCTGCATGGCCACGAACCTGCACCGCGCAGCGTCGGTGCCCGCCTTCCAGTCCTGCAACCACTTGCCCCTAACGCGCTTGCCTTTCGCCTCCGTGACGTCAGCCCTCTTGGACACTCCATGTTCTTTCATCTTGGCACGCTCTCGAGCTCTTCCTTCTCGAACCTTCTCTGCTGGAAGCAGCTGTCCAAAGAGCGCCCCCTTGACGTTGGAAAGGTCCTTCTCCTCGTACGTATCCGGGGCGTACTCGCCAAGGTCCACCACGCGCAGCTCCATTGGCATGGCGTTGACGGCCAGCCCGCCGACTACGCGCGCCTTCTTGCTCTCTGGCTTCTCCTCCTTCTCTGAGGCCTGTCGCTTCACTCTTTTGGTAATCTCCACGGGATCCTGCACCATCATCTCAACGCTTTCCTCCTCATGATCCATCGCCACGTCTTCCGCCTGGCTGGGGGCTGCTGCTGCGGCTGCTGCCGCGGCAGCTGCTGCTCTGCGCCCTGGCCCCTCTGCTGGTGCACGCTTCGACTGCTTCCTGACTGCTTCTCGAGCTGGTGGTGGTGCCTCAGCTCGCGCCCCAGCCTGTGCTGCCAGGCCCTTCGCAATGTTCTCCGCGTCCAGCAAAGCCTCCAGTCTGGCTCTGCACTCCGCAGCGTGGTACTGGCACGTCTCGTCGCAAGCTGGGCAGCCGGGTGTCCGACCCAACCGGT